GGCTCAGTCCTAGACAAAAACCACTTCCGACCCCAAAACCTGGACTACAGCCGCAGAAAGTGATGCTTTGCATTTGGTGGGACATCAAATGCGTAATTTATTTCGAACTTCTCAATCCACAGCGAGGATAACAAATCAAGAGGATCACCACACTTGGATCTGATAGCATTTTCTTGGGAGATGCTTAAAAATACGTGATTCACCTTCAATGTGGTTGATGAAATGGAATTAGCTTTGATGGAGGGGTCGATCCCAGCAGCTTATATATTTAATCATGCCATATCGATTTAGGACTTTAGTTTGTGAAGTGGTCATGCTAGAAAATGTTTTCTAATCAAATATTATAGTGATAATTCTGCAGTAACAAAGAACATGTGTTTATATGCGCTCCAATAACAGACTTTAAAACCGGTTAACTGACACATGTTTTTCATAATGATGAACTTCTAAGTGCCATTAACATTATATAATAACAGTAGGTTATGTCTTCTCATAGCTAGGATACAGAGATCTCTTATTAACACTTAACTGTTATAAAGTGTGTAAAATAATCTATAAACAAGTTACATAGAAAACGATCCCGCTGCTGATATTTTTAGCTGTAAACTGTTGTTAATCTAGTAATGTCTATATAATTTCACATTATTCTTTTACAATAATTATCTTAATGTCAGACGACTCTCATTTTATCATTTTTGTAAATTATATTCTTTTTGGTAAACGATTTACTTTCCTTGGTAATCCGAATCATTCTATGGTTATGAATTCCAACACTAGACATTCATATATCAGATCACAAGACCGGTCAACTGACTCTTATTTTCCATGAGGACTGAGATGCCATAAATTTTATTTAATAACGGTGATGGTGCCTTCTCATAAATATCAAACACAGATCTCTGATTAACCCTTAACTGTTTTGAGCAGTGTATAAAATAATATATAAATAAGTTAGATTGAAAACTATCCCTCTGCTGAGATTTTTAACTGTGAACTGCTGTTTATCTTTTAATATTTACTTAATTTCATGTCATTATTCTTTTCCACAACAAATCCATATTGAAACATGACTTAATGTGAACATTTTATCGTTTTTATAAATTCCATTCTGGTTGATAAACGATTTACTTGTTTTGGTGAGTTGAATCATTCTACTGAAAATTCCTAAACACAGAACTTTACAGTAACCATGTCTTATCTAATAAAGATTTAACAAATTTTAAAAATTAGATTTTATATATTAAATAAAAATATATAACATATTTTCAATATTGGGCACTACATTCACGGTACTTCCACGATGTGCTAATACTGAAACAAAATATCTTAAATTATTTAAATCTAAGTTGATTTATAATCCTTAATAATTGTATCGAAATTCTTAAAGCAATCGTATGTGATTGACTTCATAAGGTACAATCACCAATTAATTTCACAATCATATCTTTTAGCATTTTATATATTTATCCATAATATTCTTCTTCCCTACCCTCACCTACACTTGAACTTGAAGGTGACGAAATAACATCACCTTTTTTTAGCTAAGGCCACAATCTACATATGTCTCACATCAAAGACCAATATCACTTGCACAGAGAACGATAGTAAGTAAATAAATTTATATAAAGATATATATAAAAACCCAGAATTTTCAGTTCTTTTCCAGGCTGACAAAGAATTGTAAAAATTCAACTGATGTTTCAAAAAACGTTAATGATGAGTATGAAATTCATAAATTCTTGTTTTTAATTGGAAATAGAAATAAAAAATATTTGTTAACGTTCCAACATTCTGAAACCTAGATGGCAGCACATGTTGTTGTATGTAGATTTGGTATTTCCAATCGGAAAAATACATGGGATAAACGACCGGGTCAGAGACACCAATATGTTAACATAGTCATACCAAATTTAGAAATACCGAAGGAAGGGCAACCAATCAGCAACACCTGCTGCTAAGACAGTCATTCTTTAAACATATTGTACGTCAACCTGCTGCTAAGACAGTCATTCTTTAAACATATTGTACGTCAACTGTCTCTGATTTATTTGTTCATTTATAAGCATAAAGCTACTACGCAATAAGCTATTTGTGCTTTGTTCACCGCGGGTATCTAAACCCAATTTTTAGTGTTAGGAGCCTTCAAACTTACAGATGAGCCACCAGAATGCCTCAAAAATTTAGGGATCTCACAGCTACAAGTATGTGACGTGTTCACCAGCATACTTAAACTTAGACTTCCAAGTATTTTTCTCCATCTATTGAGAGATAACTGAACTTCCAAGTGTTTTTTCTTATTTTTTCTCCATCTGTTGAGAGATAACTGAACTTCCAAGCATTTTTTCTTAATTCTTTCTCCATCTATTGAGA